ACTGTCGTTTACATTTTTCTTCACTGGACAGTTTTGGGGCCTGTTTTGACTTATTGTTCAGTCTTTGTTTATTTTACTGCTCACATCACATGAACTGCTCTACCAGATTTACATAATTCTCTAGTCAACAGAAAGTACACTAGTACTTAGCTCAGCCTCCCAATTCACGACACCTATACTGCCATTTCCTGTGGACTTAACATCTCTGCCCACCTAGCACAAAACTTCTGTATCAGGATAACTTACTGGATCACAAATGCATTACTGTTCTCCCTATTTTTGATCCTGTCACTATGAATACCCATCTTAAGCAGGTGAGCATACCCTTTGAGCTTCTTTTACTCAGTGATCTTAGCAGAATTAACAGCAGAACTAAAAGCAAATGCATCCCAAGGCTGAAGTCAGGTTTCACGCCCCAGAGCAGTTCAGCGGATAGAAAACCTGCTGAGTCCCACTTGCCATGGAAAGGGGTCAGCTGGGTCTGGGAGCCATGTGGAGCCCTTTACCCTCAGGGTGGTGTTTGAGGAAGCAGCAAGGCCTCCCCAGGCCATGGTTGAGCAGGACTTCCACAGGAGGGACCCCTGGACACTCAGGATCCCAGACTCAACAGAAATGCCTGCACCCCACACCCAGCCTGGAGGCAAAAAGCAAGCAGGTATCAGGGACGTGCAATGGTTTGCAAATAAGGATGTCAATGTGAACATGGGAGTCTGGAGACCCATTTTCTTGAGGCCTCCCTGAAAAAAGTAAAGACTCCCAAAAAGTGAGATGGAATTCCTGCCAGTGATGCAAATAGGGAGCCTTGACATAAAGGAGTAAAAATTGACACTGCTTGCCCGTTCGAGCTGATAGGCTCAGATTTGTGCCCATTAGATAAAATTGGAGTTTTGTTCAATAGACCTACTTCCTCTATTTGCCTTATTCTGCCCCCATTACAAATTCTAAGGAGGGAATTCTAAGTAGGTCCCTGCTCTTGATTGGATCCCTGGAAATGCCCTTGAATGCAACTACTTTTTTTTAAGGTACCAACAGAGCATAAAACACACAAGTACAATATAACCTATGAGTGTGAAGTAGAATTTACACTTAAACAATGTGTATTTATGATGTTCCTCTCCCTCCCCCATTGGGGAACCCGATCACTTCTGTATACTTAATCAGAACGCATTTTAAATCACACCATGCAACAGACCTTGTGGCAATCCATGATGGCCAAAGTATATAAAATATGATGAAGTTAAGAAGTTGCAGCTGAACCAACAATATATCCTCCTGGAGGGGAGACATTAAATAAATCTTCACTCTTTTTTGATAGGCTATTAAAGTTCCTTAAAAGCTCCAGTACATTTGAATGCATTTTTTTTTAGCCATAATGCCTTAAACAAGCTTTTGTAATCATAAATATAACACTGAAAAAGGGAAAAACAAAGAATTAGCAATTAAATGTCTCTTGTTGGGACTAGTCAATGAACAGGATCTTCCTTTAAAAGGAAGTAAAGGATTATACAAAAAGCCAGGCTATATGGGAGTCATTCTATTTTTAAATTTCTGTATCCATTTGGGGGGATTTAAGGCCTAGTTTTTATTCTTGCTTGGGTGCTGGAAGGGCAACATTTTATGATAAAGACGGATTATTTTTCTGCATCAGACAATTACATCTTGCAGAAACACTGAAGGAGAAATTTTGCCTTACTCAGGAGGTAAATTTAGTTTAATTTGTTAGGCAAACAGTTTAATTAAAGTAATTCACAGTTCTGTTTATATAATAGATTTTTTAATCTAAAGATAGTAAAAGTAGGAATTGGAGAAGATAGAATCTCCATAACTTCTGAGGAAAGAGAAAGCCGGTGAAGAATTACAAACGATTAAAAATGCATTCAATGCGTATATTCTCAAAGAAAATGTCACAGAAACAATTTATCAGCTAAGTAAATAACCAAAGCAAAGTGAAATCACTAAAAAATGTTGCCCAGTCAGCTGGTTAGTGTCCTGTTCAAGCACCTCATATTTTTAACAGAGTAGATCAATACTGGGTAAATAAGAAATCCAAAGTTTGCCTTGGATTTAACAAAATTTTTATCACCAGCTTTTTTTTTCTTATATTTCTTCATGGTCACAGACAGGTATTTATTTCAGCTCAATGGCATAAGAGTTCATAGTATATTGTGACAAGCAGAAGAGTTCAAAATATGTACATAGATCCTCATGGAATTGGGGCAGTAGGTGAAGGTAAGAGAAGAGGAGGCCCAACTTGCAGCCAGAAAAAAAATCATCTCAGGAAAATAGAGCTCAGAGTAAACAGAAGTAGGACTAACCTGGAAATGCAGACCAATTGTATAATAGTGACTTCCAGTTAGTGTGGCTTGTGTAGCTTGCCTGATGGAACCAAGTGGGAAGACAGGACGTGGGGTTGAAGAAGGAGCAAGGGCTCTATGTCCACCATGAAGTTCAAGGCCTGTGCCAGGACAGGTCCAGGGTGTGGGAGTGTGGGAGCAGCCGCAAGCCGGCTGAGATGCTGAACTTGTGAGTGCAGGAGTAAAAAGCCCCAGTTAGAACCCAGGGGACTGCGAGAGCCCAGTCGTAGTCTTCCAGAGGGGTAAATGCCCATGGAAAGCACAAAGGACTACTGGTAGGTTGAAGCCACAGAGGTGGGGAAAGGAACTACGAAAGGTTAAAGAATAAAAAAATAAGTATCATGCCACTGTGGAGAACACATTAGTCTGGTGGGCTGAAAATTTAGGTTCTAGTTCCTTCCGCTATTAGCTGTCTCTGGGGCTCCTCAGAAAGTCACTGAATGCTTGGTCTGAGCCTCCTGGTCCGTAACAACAGGAGCGTAAAGCGGCTGCATGACTTTCCAATACGAACTTCACAAACCACTAGGCCCACAGAAAATGCTTTAAGAATCTTCACAAACATTATGTGACCAAATATATTTGGAAAATTCAATCAAAGATGCAAAGTGCTCATTAGCATATTAAGACTCTGAGAAATCTCACACTAAAGACATCTGATGAGTTTTACTCAGTTTCCCAAACCTACTTGCCCCCTGAATGCTTTTTTTCCACAAAACACCTTTTGATATAAATTGCGCCCTTTGCAAAACACACGAAACTAGATGATATTTCCAAATTTAAGTTTCTTCAGGCCTCCAAGGGGAGACACGTAGAAAAGGCTCAAAGTCCAAACTTGCAGTTCCTATATTATTCCCAGGACTGTAAAGTTAATATAGATTGATCTTAATCCAAAGTTCTCATGAGGAAGGACAGAATGAGCCATTGATTGGGCAACTCCTAGCTAATGATATGGTGACTGAATAGTAACCAACAAACAGAAATCCACCTAAGTGCAGACCTGGCCAAGTTCTGGTGGATAAACCAATTAATCCACATGTGTTAAGAAATGTCTCTTATGTACCCACATTGGGCTGTGTCCTGACATATAAGACCTTATGTGGTCTCCCAAATAAAGATACTAATGTATAATCCCAAAATTATAATGTTAAACTACATAGAACAAGGGATTCCCTACTGTATCCCTTGAGCCTATTCCAGGTCCTGACATAAGGTAGATTTATTCATTTATGAGTGAATGTTCCAATGGGCAAATATTTAGACAGATGCACTGAGCAGGATGCCACCCTCCAAGGAATTTAAAGCCTGCCTAAAGGAACCTCAAAATAGCTTTATTTATTGTCAAAGCCAATTACAATTGATGCTGAATAATGTTGAAGACATGCTGATCTTCAGCCAGAATGTAGACTATCTCAGTGTGCATTACACCCATAGTGCATTGGTATGTCCAGAGCCTTCGATAAAAAGATAACATGTTATTAATGGGCAGGTTGAACTTTCAGTCTAATGATGTAATGCAGGCATCAGAACAGACTGACACATTAGTAATATAACTTTGGCTTCAGAAACAAAATAATTACAGAAGAAGACAGATAAAGGAACCACAATGTTCACAAGGGTCAAGAAGAAAGGTTTTGCTGTAAGAAAACTTAAGGTTGATTTTTCAAAAAAAAAGAAAAGGGGTTTAAAATAGATCTGGTTATAAAGGTATTCCACAATTCTTTTCTTTATTGTCTTTCAAAGGAAGGAAAAAGCAGATTTGAGTTTGTCTGGCAAACAGAAAGCCCAGAGAGGTCCCGGACTTGTCTGCAGGCACGCTGGGAATAGCTTCAGTGAGGAACCCACCCCCTGCCCACAGAACCAATGCCTCATCCCCCAGCCAGTGACACAGCCCCGGCCCTTTGCAACTGACCCGCTCCTCAATGGCTGTCAGTTACTTCCTCCTATTCAAAAAAGTGCATCTTTGGATGTTTCCAGTAAAGGTTATTCAAATGAGTTATTATTTCTTATATGTTGTGGCCTCCTTGGCTTTCTCTTCTGCACAGATACGTGTAGAAACCTTTGCTCCCTCCTGCCTCCCCAGCCTGCTCTCTAAAACCTCCCCCCACCCTTGAGCCCTGTTGATACCCGCCTTCGTCACATTCTCGGCTTTATCTCAAAGGTGGTTTCGTTTGCTCTCTGCCCCTGTTAAGCACTCTGCTCCAGTTCTTCTACCGAATTCAATAGGAAAAGCAGAACAGATATCCCTGTAGAACACTGTCATCACCTCATAAGGCCTGCAGCCTGGAACATAAACTGCTTCCGATTCTTCAGTTCACGCTCAGCCTGAGCAGATTACAAGTGGGGCACTTAAAATCAAAAGCCAAGAGGGACCAAACCGTGACTTTGAATGAGAAGTCGAAGCAGAAGCCATGAACACTTGCAAACCCTGGGAGTTCCAGAGTCAGAAGTCTAAGTGCCCTAGACAGAACGCGGGTCTGATCATCGGAATGTTCCCAAACACAAAAAAGCAGGGAGCTGGCCTATGCTTCAAACGTGACTTTGCAACAGATGGATTTTGATTGAGCATGACGTGAAATAAAAAAAATAAGACAGAAAAACTTGGAAGAATGGCTCAATTGTCATCTGCCACCAAGAGAGGCACACAGTTTTTCTTCCTTGCAACTCTCCCGATTTACCATGCAGAGTTCAGGAGGTAGGTGATGAGGGGCTTTCCACTTCACAGGGTACTGGACTCCCAGGTCTGGAAAGAGGCTCTCAGAGTCAACCTCCCATCACTTCCCTACTGACACATAGCAGAGGTCCCCGAAGTATCCTTGCTCCAACACAACACTCTAAGTCAAAATCCTGAGGAAGGTTGCTGGTAAGCGCCAATATGGTTCACCCTCCTATCCGACTCCTCCAAGTCATACCGTATCACTGTACCAGCTCAATGCCTACGGGATCTGGAAGGTTCACTCTCTCTACCATTCACTGTCCAATCAAGGGGGCAAACTCTCTTTACCAACCATCTCTCTCTCTCTCTTTTTAATCAATACAGAGAACAAGATGAGTGATCCTTTACTTTTACAAAACACTCCTGAATTTGGAAAGCAGTTTAACACCTTTAATCTTTTCTGCTGAGTAATTGGCCACTTTTTTCTTATTTTCTCTCCCTTTGGGGTTGGCATTCTGCTTTAATCAGGTGGAATTCATTCATGTCCAGCTCCAGACGAGGTCTATGTCATATCCTGTTCTATTAGGTTGATTACTTCTCAGCTGCATTTCCTCTATATCACGTTTAGAGTCTATTCCCACTTTATGCAACCAGCTCAAATTCCTGCAAGAGAATTGCAGAATCCTCCAGATGAAGTCCATTTGCTGCACCTAAGTGTGAAAAACAATGATAAAATTTAAAAGTGTAAGACTTCTCTCTTCCTCCCTACCCTAGGGAACAGCCAAAAGGCCTCCCAAATTAGTAAAGGTCCCACATCTTCCCTGGGGCACCCCTTTCTTGTGAAAAGAATAGTAAGGGAAGAGGGGCAACAGATAAAGAAATAGAAGATTCCTAGGCAGACTTTCTAGAAGGCTTCCATTGGACTAGACCTCACAAATTAAAATGCCTACAGAGGCCAGACAGGGCAGTGAGTGAGTGAACAGAACAGGTATGAAAGACTAACAGCGGTGGGGGTCTGTGGCAATCCGGGAAGTGCATGCCGCTCCTACAACTGCCCCTTCTCTTCAGTTCCAGCCAGTTGTTGGATAGAAATGCAAGTTCAGGGTACCCAGCTCTTTAGATTTTTCTTGAGGCTCACATGGACTGGATATTTTAATGTGAAATTTCCCAATTTGTAAATGTTGGCATTTAATTAAGAACATTTCAAAACTGTGTGAAGGCCAATGAAAACATGTCCATGAGCCAGATGTGGCCTGGTTTGAAACCTCTGTGATAGGCTAGAGGGCTATTTAAATTCACCAAGACAGTTGGGGTATATAAGGGAGGAAAGAAAAATGGCACAGCCTCCTGGCTTCAGATGGAAGCTTAACAACCTGCATGGTGGGGGGAAAGGTTCACCCCCTGGGGAAGCAGTGGGCCAGCAGCCAGCACGAGCAGGCCCAGGCTCTTTGGGTTGACAATTGTTTCACTTTGTCCAAGAAATAATCTCTTCAGAACAAGCTGGGAGATGGAATTGGAAGTCTAATTTAAAGAGCTTACCAGTATGAATAGATAAACAGCAAGTGTATGTGTTTCCATTCCCAGAGTTAGAAAAAGCAAAATGGGACAAAAGCAAATGGAATTGAGGTCCAGATCCCAGTTTTTCTTGGAAGAAGAGAACTATGGGAAACTGATGAGTGATGCGCAGTTATTTCGACAACAGTGAAGTGGGGTGAGACAGAAGGACAATGGGGGAGACCCTGGGGGAGACAGAGAGTGGACCCCATGGCAGACATACTCACACCCAACCTCCCCCAGCGCCCTTCTCTAGTCACTTAGGGTCAATCATCCCAAAGTGTTTAAATGAACAAAAATAACGAGGACTGCCTTTCTCTATGAATCTGTCTCAATTGAACAACTGTCCACATTGGTATCCTGGGAGTTACACCTTTAGGGAGCATTGTGATGAATTCCTAGTACAGTAAAGGGAAAAGCCATGTGCACAGAGGTGAAAAATAATATTTGCTAATTTACAGCTATTAATTAAAAGCCCTGTCACTAAGCCAATGCTCCAGCATGATTTTAAAATTTCCCTCAAGGTCGTTACAACTTCTCCAGGAGAGAGTCGTAGAGAACGCGGACTAGGCGCACAGCGCTTAGGCGAGAGGCTGGGGAGCAGACATCTTCAGGCTTCGGATTTGCACAAGCGGTTCAGCCTCCTCAGGGTCCAGACAATGCCCTGCATTCACTGCAATCTCAGGAGCTCCGACGCTGGGCTGAGGAGCAGAAAAAAAACCTAGACTTGAATTGAGAATAAATTGGTATTCACTAAATGGCACTTCTGGATTTACTGCAGCCTTCACCTTTGGAGGGAATTGCCAAGGTGCTCATAAAAGAAGAAATGATGAATATTCAGGATGTCTTTTGAATCCATTAGGCTACAGAGGATGAGGTCTCCACATGCAGACCTCTGGTTCTCTCCTCAGGTTATTAAGGAGACTGCCAAAATGGCCGTCTGCAGGAAGCAATGGACCCTGGGTCTGCCAGCGGGGAGAAAGTCTAAACGCCAAAGGTCAAGTCCATGGAAATAAACCTGGTTTAGGAGTTTTTGCAAAGGAAGAGATCTATAAATTTGGGGTCTCTGGACACAGTGAATGAGAGAATGTGCCTGTCTATTTGTAGTAACACGGATCAAAATGTGGTAGCAGTCTATTCATTGCAATGTCAGCCTTTGTCTTGCAGGATCCAATGCTGTGCAGATCTAGTTGGGTCCACCCCACACGGGAAAATTCCAGACAGTCTCTTTAAGGGCCTCCTGTAGTTTTGTCAGCTGAGCTTCCCAGGAGCAGAATAGTTTGTGCATCCCCGAAGACTATAAACCGTTTGCTCCCCAGTCTGCTTACTTAAGCCCTGAGCACTTGCTCTTGTAGCTTACACAAAGAGGGATTCTTTGTGCTAAAAAGAATTTAAAGAAATAATATAGCAAACACTACTGAGTCCCAGGAGGACTGGACATAGATCAATCAATCAATCTTTGGGAAAAGGGGATATTTTAAAAAGGAATGATGCAAGTCACTTATCATCAGTTTCCCTGCCATTAAAATAAAAAAAGTGGAGTCATAGCCAAAGCAACAAGCATTCATGAGAGCCACGTGTTGCACCAGGCCCTGGAATGGAGATAAGCACTCCTTCTTATCCTTCAGGCACTGATGCTTTAGCAAGAGACACGTACATAGGATGATACACCAATAACACAAAGTCAAAACACCTAGATTAAGGTGCTATGTCAACTCAGATGGCCTACTGATCCGTTTCAGTAGGAAGTGGTGGAAGGCGGATCAGAGAGAGAAAATCACTTTGGCAAGGAGACATTTGAGCTGAATCTTGAGGGGGAAGTTCAGTACAAGAAGCAAAAATGAAAGACAGGGCATCCCCAGTAGAGAGCTCTGCAGGGGTCAAAGACAGGGAGTGGGAAATCACAAGGAGGAACGGGTGATCAGGTGGGAAACACACCACTATGCCTCAGGGAGATCACATGACCGTCCTACATTCCATCTCAGGAATCAAAAATACAGTCATATCTCCAAGTCCCTTCCTGAAATAATATTTCATGATTTTTATAATTTTAAACAGAGGGGAATAAAAGTTGAAAAACCCAAGAAATGCCTTGTGCTTAATGGTCTTTTTCTTTGATGTTCTGTGAACAAAAGTGAAATTGGTGGTGGAAGGTGGAATTACCATCTGAGCCCCAGGGAAGCTGTTTATCATGGCCGATCTTACAGGACCTTCCAATCAGGGAGAACCAGAGCCCGCTCATGGGGAGATGCATGGGGAAGACATTTCCGAAGTGTCTTCTGCAGAGAACACCAGGCCCAAGAATGCATGGATGCCATGGATGCCAGATTCCGTGTCTGCAGTGGTGCTCTTAATTCCCACATGCCACAGAATTTTCTCTTATTCTCCATTTCCTCCATTGTCTCTCATGTATCATGGAGAAAATAAGAAGAACCAGAAACATGAAAAAATAGTTCTTGTGAGATTCTACCTGGTTTTGTTTTATCTACAACCGCCATGGGAAGTGTGACTGGGACAGATGAGCAAGTGAAGGCCTGGAGAGATAAGAGGACTTCTCCGGCTCCCGAGCTGACCAAGGAAGACCCAGACACCACGCACCTGGTCTCATTCTTCTGCCTCCAAACCCACTCAAGCTCACCACCCCACAGGGCAACAGCTGATGAATAGAAAAAATTTTGAAAGAGACACTAATGAATAGCAACATCTAGTTTATGTTAGATATCATTAATAGAGATATTAGATATTAGAAGAATTAGGGTGTGATCAGATACCCAAATATTGTGTTATAAACACTGAAACAGTAGGGCCCTAAACTGGAAAGGAGTTTGTCACACATTTAAGTCCAATATAGCAGGATAAAAGCATGATCCATGAAAGAAAAAAAAATTGATAAATTCAACTTAATAAAAAGAAGAAAATTTTGCTCTACAAAAGGCATGGTTAAGAGACTAAAAAAGCAAATCACAGTTGGAAAAATATTTGCAGATCATATCTGTAGAAAGACTTGTATCCTTGACATAATTTTTTTTAATTCTTAAAGCTTAACAAGAAAATAAACAACTCAATTATTATGAAGGAAATGCAAAGTAAAAGAGATACCACTACAAACCTATAAAAATGGTACACATACATATGCACATACACAAAAGCAAACAAACAATCAAAAAACCCTCACAATTCCAAATGGCAGAGGGTGAGAAATGGCATAAGCGCTCATTCATTCGTGATGGGGATATGAAATGATAGAGCACATTCAGAAACGTAGGGCAATTTCTTAAAGAATTAAATATACCTTTACCACACAACCCAGCAATGCCAATCCCAGGCATTTCCTCGAGTGAATTGTGAACTTAGGTTCACATAAAAATCTGAATGTGAATTCTTATTGCCCTTATTCATAATTCCTAAAACCTGGAAACTTTCTGGCAGTCAGTCCTTCAACAGGTGAATGGATAAAATAAACTGTGGTATATCCATACAATTGGACACTACTTAGCAATTAAAGGGAACAAACTAGTAATTCATATAACAACAAGAGTGAATCTTAAACACATTTTTAGTTGAAAGTAGCCAATTCCAAAATGCTATGTATTTTGTGGTTTCACTTATGAAATTTTAGAAATAGCAATACAGTAAAGATGGAAAGGAGATGGGTGAATTACTGGGGATAATGATGGGGTATTGTCTACAAAGGAGTCGTATAAGGGAATTTTAGGATATTGGGACTCTTCTTTATGATCCTTGGGAGGTAGATAAATTACCATATAATTTGTTAAACCTCTTAAAACTGTACAATGCAAAGAGTGAATTTCATTCTGTGAAAATTTTATAGAAATCAACCAGGATGTTCAAGACAACCCAGGTGTAATGCAGATGATGACAAATAAGCTAAACTATATTACAAACATATGACAAAGCTTCACTGAAAGGGCTAGGGGAGAAGAGGAACGTATCTGAGAAACTTCGAAAAACAGTGTTTTGATCGCATACTGTAAGGCTAAAGGCAACCACTACCTATACATTAACACTCCACTCTAGTTGTTCCTTCCAGGGGTACAGGTAGACAACTCTGAAACTACTTCACATGTGCATTAGGGCTGAACAACCTAGCAACTTTAATGTAGATAGTAAGGTCCAGATTCCTCACTGCGAGAGAAAGAAGTTACAAATAAACAACCAAGGCAGACTAGAATCTGACTGGATTAGAATCACAGATATCATATGAAGTCACGTTTAATTCAGTATATTTACAGATAGATAGAGAAATAAAGATATATATGCATACATAGGTGAATATATACACATATATCTCCAAGGTTTTTCTGCTCAGAAGTGCAAGAGGCAGTGACACAACACTCCAATAGTAATGTGCACACCCAGTGCCCAGATCTTGATTTCTAAATACCATTCTCCAATAAAAATAAAGATTTATAGAAGATGATATATGACATCATGGGACATGGGGTGAGGGGAAACCCTCGGATTGAATTTATCTAGGAAGAACATTTAAGCAACCACTAGGTAGAATCCTAATATGACAGAATGTTTGTGAAGATGACCAATTTTCCACTTCTTTCCATACTGCCACCTCACTGCAATGCAACTTTGCATCCACTCTCACCAAGAGAAGGAATCTATTTTCTGCCTTTTGAACCGAGATTTCCCTTGTCACTTGCTTGTTGAATAAAATGCAGCATAAGTGATATTGTGCAAGGTCCAAGCCCAGGCCCCAGGAAGCCTTGCATACCTTTGCTCTTTTTCTTGGAGAGCTGCTACCATGCGAACAAGCTTTGGCTAGTCTACCGAAGGACAGAGACCATGTGGAGCCTAGACCAGTCATGCCCTTTGAGGCCACCCTATCCCAGCCAGCTGACTTGGAAGCTGACTGCAGATAGATGAGGAGACCAGCCAAGATCAACTGAGCTTGACCCAGATCAGCAGAACTGCTCAGCTGACTCATAGACTCGTGAGCTAAATAAATAGTCATTGTTTAAAGCCACTAAGTCTGGGCTGGCTTGTTATGCAGCAACAGCCACCCAATAAAACTGGAGGATCTCCATTCTCAATGGATGGGCTGATGAAAAAAAGTTAAAGAGACTGCAAAACTGGAGTCTGATTGCTGTGAGAACAAGGAGTTTGAGGTCAGAGACCAAAGGAGAAGTTGCAGGATGAAAGAAGTGGTCCCCAAGGAAGATGTGTCCTAAGAGAGAGAAAATTTTATCAACCAGAAAAACAATAATTGAAACACCATTAGCGTCATGTACACACAAATAGAAACAGCTAATATGACCTTCTCATCAATAGCAGAAAATCCATTTCCTTCTTTTGCTTAAATACACACCCCTACGTTACTGCATACCTTTCAGGCAGAGGGATTTAATTTATAACCCATTTTGAACAAAAGACCCACAAAACTCACATGACCCTAGGCCCCTCCTCTGGGAGACAAGTCCAGGTCACCGCTGCTCCCACCTGTGAGTTGCAGAGTAATGGATTATTAGCCCACGATCTCCACGGCTTCACATCACCTCCTTCCTCCTACTCATTACCCTCTTGGCCCTGTCATCTAAGACCACACACACCCCTCGTCCTTATTTCTTTTTCTTTTTCCTCTGTTTCCATAGATTGTTATGTTCACATGAATGAGCATGTACTGGTCTCTCTCCACACCCCAGTCCACCACTGATATCTTTGTACAAGATATTTGGAGAACCAGATCTTTCCTGCTGTGCATCACTAAGGAGTGATGGGCTTCTGAGAGTGCCAAAGCATGGATGTCAGCCTCCAGGCCTCCAGAGTACAGCTGCAAAGTCAGGGAAGCTGACCCACTACTCAGATGAATAAATCTTTTCTGTCTGGCCTCAGTTTATCCAGGTAGTATCATGTGTGTGTGTGTGTGTGTGTGTACATGAGTGTGTGCACACGCATGCATGCACACACACACACACACAGTACTGCAGAGGGACACCAGCTGATCACGGGCTTTGGGAAAGGTAAGTCATCCTTGTGAGGTCATTTATCACACAGCAATAGCCACCTGACAAAACTAGTGGCACTTCACTAATTTGGACTGGGCTGGAAGCCTCCTCCTTGCGGGACCTGTGATGAGGAAAAGCACAGCCAAAGTTAAGAGTCAGCCTTGGGTTAAGTTACAGCTTCGCTGCTGATTAGCCATGTGGCCTGGGACTGACTGAACCTCTCAAAGCTTTAGGTCCTTCATTGGTAAAATCATGTTAAAAATAGTCATCTCTACCTTGAAAGGCTGATAGGAGCATGGAATGAGTTGAATTAGCTAGGTCATCAGTTTTATGTCAGAGTCAGAGATAATGCAGGGAAACCATCCAATGGTGCCTAGCACACAGGGGAGCTCCCTAAACACTAACCAATGTTGTCACGCTCCTGACCGTCCCCACAGCCTTATGCCACTGACCTGGCTGACCTCTCTGTGACCTTCCGCTGGGCCTTCCCAAGTCCAGTCCTTGCCAGTGTACCACCTTCGGCCTATGTTTTTGACCCCATTTCCTTCAGTCACCTCCTGCCCAGCCCTGTGAGCCAAGGTCAGCCCCCGGCCTGACCTCTCCTGTTATCCCCGTCCTGCTGGAGCTCACCAGGCCAGGCCAGCACGTCTCTGAGTGAGGCAATTGGTTCCTCAAAATGATTCTCTCAGTAAATGGAGTAAAATCGCAATTGGGGAATGAAAGGGGGAAATGCGTAAGAGGACGTGGCCTGGTGACAAGCACGTTCAAGGCTGTAAGTATGTGGCAATTGCTTTTTTCATCCAATTCTCTTATTTTGAAACTTTCCTGGAAGTGACCTGGTATTATTAGGCTTTACTGCAAGACAGAGGCTTTAATTTATCCAATTACGTGGGGATCCACGTAGGACTGACAGCTGGTGAGACTATGTCATTCTCAGGGACAGAGGGACTAAGTGGGAGGAAGGGGCTCCCAGTGAGGACAGAAGTTGGGGGAGGTGGTATTTCAAACTCCTACCAGTGAGTCACTGTGCTTTCAACAGCCTAAACTTTCACCTAATTAAGCCCTGCTAATAAACAATTATTTAATGGGCTGCACAGTAACATCTAGATTTTATTTTCAAATTTCTAGCTGGCTAGGTAGCTTCAAAATCAGATCACATAGTGTTGAGGAAAAAATACACACACGTATAAGCAACACGGCAACAGATCACTGCTCTTGCCAAACACGCCTACAAAATTCGTGAACCTCTGAGATCTGCTCCTCTGCAAGTTGCTGGAGTTTTGCTAGGGTGCAAAGAAAAAGCAGGTGCATTGCCCTTGTGCCCTGGCCATCCCCACGCACAGCAGGTCCAGCCCATTTTCGGCCTCAGGGCCCACATTTGCCAATCCCACCACTGCTCGCCCACTGTGGATGCAGCAGCATTGTCCTGCACTGCCTTGGAGCCAGACACCCCCACCCCCGAGGAGGGTCACTGCCAGCAGCTGCTTGGAAACTACCCCACGACGTGACCCTCCTCTCCATTCGTCCTCTTGGGGATGCAGTCAGCCCAAGTACACACTGAGGACCACCTGTGCTGTGTCTGGGGAGCTGGTCTCTCTCTGCCCATCTCTAAGTGATGACCCTGTGCCCCGCCCTCCAGCAGACTTCTCTGCACAACCCCTAGCTTACCGATCATGCCAGGTCCTGCTAGTGCCTGCAGAGTCGGCTGCTTCCTCTCTCTCCCTGGCCCTCTCCCTCTGTGATTCTCTCTCTCTCTCTCTCTCTCTCTCTCTCTCTCTCTCTCTCTCTCTCTCTCTCTCTCTCTGATTGATATAGAGATCCGCATTCACAGCACACTTGGGCTGAAAAAAATGTGTGCTGTCTTCTCCTTGTCTTTGAGATAGAGCCCTTAGGGCTTAGCCCGACATCCAAGGCCCCCTGCCGCCTATCTTTGCTTGCTGGCTCCTGCCCCAAATCCCTGTGTGGCGTCCACACAACTTCCATTCTCCCTCCAGGAGTATCTTCCAAGCCAAAGTATGATCACTGCTTCCAGCCAGAAGTAAGGCTGTAAAGGTGCTCTTCTCCCTGCTCGGGCTCTTCCATGGGTCCTATTTCCCATCCAGAACCATGTGTCTTCCCTGGTGACTGACCACGGATGACTTCACACGTTCATTATGCATTGACTGGTCTAGAGCCTGAGCTGGTCCCTGTGCTGAGCAGGGGACTCTCGTGTGCTCAAAATCACGTGGATGTTGCTCTGTAAACCACAAACCCAGAGCTACATCACATCACAGTGCACTAGGCATCACCTCCGTCTAATAGGAATGTCAGGGACACAGCACCAGAGAGCCTCTCAGACACTCCACAGCCCCCAGAGACAAGATCGCCAGGCGTGGGGTGTGCGGATATTGCCTCTTAGAAGTTCACTCTCGTAATGCACAACTTCTTCTTCTTTCTCATTCTTGCCCACCAGCCTCACAAATGAAACACCAATCGATGCAAGAAGACAGGCCAGGAGACTCTGCTCCTCAGAGCTGTGCATCGCTTTCTCAGGACCTTGTGGCACGGGGCTGGCTAGGTTATTGTCAAAGGTGGGGAACAAATTTACCTGTCTGCCCATTCAGCACCTGGGTGGTTTGAAAACACAGCCCCTCCACAAGCAGGAGGGCCACAGCAGCCTCCACAACAGAATTCTTCAGAGGCAGGCAGAGTGATGGGGGCGGACCATCTATGGCAGCCTGTTGTCGGTGTCTAAGAAATTTGCAAGCATTCCATTTCATTGCATTTCTCTTTTATGATGCACTATGGTGCTGACTGGGACATGAGATAAAGCTAAAAGGCATTTTGCTTTTTTCTAGCCAGCACTTAGATCCTGCAGGTAAAGCAGTTGGCTCAGAATCCCCCACATTTTCAGGGTCTGAGTGCTAGTGTCAATGCAAAGGGGCAGCCAGAGGGCGAGGAGGTTTCTCCAGCTAGAAGGTTTCTCCAAACTCCAAACACACTTACGAGGTCAGGCCAGAGCACACCTGCCCCCTGCCGAAGCCACCACCATGGGCCATCAACCTGTGTCCTCCACAGTTGTGCTGTGGCTTTAAGGCGGCCCTTGATGTTCACTTGATTTCACATATGGAAATATCGCGCAGGGGATCTCTAATAACAAGTAAGGCTGGCAGTTGCTAATGCTTTAAAGGTGGAAAACTCTTTCACATACTTGATCATATTTATCTCATACCAGAATATTCACCATACTCCCGTGAGCCAGTTGTCCTCCTGCCACTACCATTGTCCAGGTAAAAAAGTGAGGCCCAAGAATCCCTCAATTTGCTAATTCTTTTGCGATAGTAAGTTTCAGACTCAGGAGTCCACTTGACAGCTTATTGCAACTCCACTGAGAGCAGGGTCCTGTTGGGATTATTTCTGGGGTTTCTACTTAAACGGCACACCCTAACCCAGCCCAGACCATTCTCTTGTAGAGAAAAAAAAACCTGCCTGCTCCCCACCACACCCACGGGCCTACAGGCCTTTTCCAGCTGGTCCTTCACAACGCAGAAGCACCTTGGGATGAAGTCTATGTTGAGGTGTTAAACACTGAAGCCCTAGGAGAACACAAAACGCCAACTTTTCCGTCCAAAGGGACCTTTCCCAGTTCAGCCCAAAGTTATTTCTATTCTTTCTTCTATTTTTTTGTTTTGCTTGACATGGAATTAGCTATGTTTACCACACATCAGCTCCCAACAAATGGCAAACAGCTAAAGGAAAACCTCTGAGGTATTTCCCAACTGAACAAAATCAGAAATGGATGCCAAGCCCCAGAGAGGTGTAGCCTGCCTGCCGTTTTCAGTTTTATCAGAATTATTCAGCAGGGTTTCCGGGCAACCTGTGACCCAGCGCTCACCAAATTTCCTGCAGTTCCCCATTTAGGCCACTATTTGCCCCACATCTTCTCCCCAGCCCCACGTCGTCCTTCCTTGGTTATCCTTTGCATGCCTAAAATAGTTTGGTTTGCTGTTTGTTTGTTTTACAGTCTTATCTAAAATGTGGGTGTGACAGGGCCGTTTTCCCCTCTTGGCTAATGGATCATATCACAGCAGAGACAGTAGTGCATCTAATTATATTATTAACATGGCTTTCTTTTTCCAGAGGCATGTTTACAAAGGCTGTGTCCCTTTCAAGTCACAACGCTGCCCTTCCTGGCTTGCGTGACCTTAAGAATGCCTTTTGTCCTCTCTCTAAACTCCAATGAAAGCAGCACACTCATAAATACTGAACAGAATTTTTGAGAAGGAAAGATGGAATCACATAAGAAAAAAGTGTTTTGAAAACGGCAAGAACTACACAACCTTAAAAACAACCTCATTATTTTATTGCTGTCTCTCCGTCCTTGTCAGTACAATGGTGATACCGTCTAATGCTTGCCTAGTATTATTTACTGTGAGGATTAAGAGAAATAATACAGAGAAAGTGCTTAGCTCCCTACTTAGCACGTAATTAAAGCGCTCAGAAACTCTTAGCCAGAAGCATCAGGTGCCAGGGTCCCAAACCAGAGGCAGCAGGTGTGGCCAACCCCATTTTATAGCTGAGGAAACTGAGGTTTGAAAGGTCAAGGAGGCTCAGACTAACTCGCAGCTCTACCCTTTCATGTCTCACTGAACGTGTTTATGTCCCTATGGCTGGTTGGTAGCAGAAACCCAGTGGTTGGTGGCCAACCTTAGTAGGATTTTACATTTTGAAAGGATCTGTGGGGAGCTGCAGGCTGCTGGTTCCTCTGGACACGAGACAAAAGATCCGTAAAAGAATGTTCCAGACCTTCGTGGGCTGTTGTCTCATTAGCAGCTGCAATGCAACCAGCTTATTCATGAGAAACACAAAATTAAATAGAATGAGAAGACTAAACAGGAGACAATCATTGCTTCTACTTTTAATTCTCACTTAGGAACAGTTGAAGCAGCAAAGGTAAAAACGGTGATGAAGTTTAGTGGCGAACCCAAAAACTCCACACTTTCAGTACAGAGATACCAGATAAGTCGATTTCAAATGTTTTGAAACCTTCTAACCGTTTCATAGTTTAAGTCCACAAAGGATCTGGTCCCAGCCCTGGGGTGGTGGCGGGAGCAGTGTAGAAAAATCCTAAAGACTACAACCAGTTCCATGGACACAATGCGACAGCAGGTGGTGGAGCTTCTGGGAAGAAGAACAAGGCTCCCCGGGACAGCCTTTTACCATCCAGCTTTAGTTTGTCCAAAAAGAAGAAGGAAAAAAATGAACTCAAGTCTGCAGCCAGGAAAACCACAGTCAGGGAATTAAAGAGCTGGGCACACAATAATTTTAAGTCACGTCAGAGATTTAAATAGCACACATCAGCAGAAAAGAATGGGGAAACCTACAGGGCACTTTACTTCATCGATACCCCATTTATCAGCAATTACTGACTCCATTAAAGGCTGAGTTTACAGCAGAAAGAGAAGCAGAGCCTAAAATATGTCCCAGCAGATGGACAGAGAGTGTCGGTGATGCTGTATTTCAAAGGCATCTGTGCTGTTGTTATCACTGAGCGTGGAGTCAGAGAGGCAGCAGTAAAAACAGCGACCCGAGAGCCAGCAAATGATTTACTTGACCCGGGATGGGTA